ACAAGACACAGATATGACTACCCTGAACAAACTTAACAGCTATTTTGTTCTTAAAGACTTAATCAGGGTCCACCCATATACTATATCAGTTGAAGATGTTAGGAAAAAATCAGAATTTTCTTTGATGTTAACTAACCTCCCACTTGACACAAATGGGCGCTATTTAATCTCTATCGGTAATGCTATTGAAGTGATTGTCTGGATCATCTCCAAATCATGTGCTAACTACAGAAATTTACAATACACCATCTTCTATTTTAAAACTAAAGAATCTATGGAAGCAGCAAAAAATGGAGAAACTTATTTCCTTGATAAGAAACGATTAATCTGGACTGATCCTAATGCAAAACTTTGCTTCACCTGTCAAGTTTTAGGTCACCAATCGCAAAATTATCGTAAAAATCATTTAGTCTTACTAGACTGATAAACTCAACATTATATCAACGCTACCAGCCTGTATAGTTTCGTAATTATAAAGCACCTGTCATTGTACCTAAACCACCAACTCACCTTAAGAAACAATAAACTATAGATAAACCTAAACCGAGCTAACAACAAAATAATGCCAATGATAAATCTAAATCCAGCAACGTCAACGCTTCGCCTAATCGTCAAATAAAACTTCCTTAGACTAAATCACTAAATGATGATCGAAACCAACAATATATCACCCCCATCCGTCCTATTAATAGTAAAGGAGAACAAACTCTTGATGTTAGTATATATGCATTGCATTACTGAGCTGATAAAACTTTAGACGAATTCTGTTTGCCAAATGTTATTCCAAATCAACCATCCCAACCAGAATTGCTTGCTCAGATTTTCAATCAACTGATCGCTATCTCTGAGCAGCTCGCTAAAATGGAGTCAGATTTCCACTTGACTGCGAATCGAGTTACTACGGTTAAAAAAGTCCTTAATATCAACGTCTTACTCCTCCACCAAGCAGATTTATTTAACAAATCTTTCAACGAAGATGATATGGAAACTGAGGAATATACCTATATAGCTGGTCCCTATACAAAAGACAATATTGTTGCTAAACAATCTGCTGAACTAATTACCTTGAGAGATGAAAACACTTTCCTCAAAACCAACCTTAAAAATAATATGACCAAACTCAACAATGCAGGACACGCTATCGCTAACATGCAAAGAATCTTACAAACACAACTTCAAATCAATCCAGACGCCTTTACTGCTATTGAAGAAGTCGCTCCCCTTTCTAGCTATGAAAAAACAGTTGACGGTGTCTTTATCCCACCCACTCCAAATATTTTTAATGATTGATAATTCACAGAATTATAAACGGGTTGGCCCTAATGACCCGATAGCAAACAACAAAATAACAAATAATAACAATATTCACAATTTATTTTTGATTAATAATACATTATCTTCTCGACTCAACATTGCGATATATAATGTTCGCTCTTTCGTTCAACCACAAAAATAACAATTCCTGCTCAATACTTACGAAATTAATCACTTAGATATAATAGGCCTCCAAGAGATAAACTTCAAATCAACCAATAATACTGTATCATTTTCAAAATCAACTTCGTCCCAATACTCGTATTTTTTCAATTTTGATCAGCAATCACAGAATTCAGGTTTTGGAGTTGGCCTTCTTATTAAGAAAAATATTGCTGATCATATTTACAAACATGACGATCAACACGAACGTTATATTTTCATCGATTTTCAATTTCACAATAAATTCCGCATTAGATTAATTAACTGCTACATATCAAGTTCGAATACTGCCTTTGAGAACAAACATATAAAGAAGTATATAACGTCATTAAATCAGTGATAGACCTCAACATGGAAATCATTTTACTAGGAGACCTAAATGCAGTCCCAGACCGTTCTAATAATATGTCAAAAGCTAATCATTTCTTCACCCAACTTGAAGACTTCCAACTTTTCAACTCTTTTGATCTTCTACATGATGATGCTAATCAACTATTTCCATCTTTTTTTTCACGTTACGCATTATCAATCTTCAAGAATCGACCATATTTACACTTCTTCACATATTGCTATAGGCCTCAACAAAACCCAAACCATCAACATTGATCCCAACATTTCTGACCATTCGATAGTTTCTATTAATGTAAATATAACTGAACTTAGCACTTCAAATAACGATAAAAAATGCACCAAAAAGAAGATTTACCTTTATGATGACATGGACGAAAACTCTTAGACACAATTTGGTAAAAAATGGATGGTTTTCTTGGAAGCTGTCAATTATCCAACCTCACTTCCAATCGATTACACTCAAAATATGCCTTCAATTTCTTTTGGGATCTCATTCAAGAATACATCAAAAAAGCGGCAGATAAATGTATCCTGTCTAGATATTCATCTCAACACTCTCGTGACCTTAGGCCAAGATTATTAAAGAGCCTTTATAAATAATTGATTTTAATACAAAAGTTTCAACATACGACAAAAAAATGCATTCCAGTAAAATGGCCCCAGACATATAACATAGTTTTTGATATCGCGATGAAATACAATTTAAATTGGACGCGTATCAGCACTCCACAACTCACTGACCTCATTACAATTAAACAGAATATTTCTTAGTTACTTAAAGTCCATTTGATTGCAATCAAATTAGAAGAAGACAAACATAAAACGAAATAAATTAAAGCAGCTCTCCAACGCAGATGTAATAATTTTCATGATGATCAAGCCAAGATGTATGATTCTATTCTTAATAGACAAAGACAAACAATTGTTCTAGACAGATGCCTTGATAACTCACCTGATGATCTAAGTCTACTTACCTCAGCTGATGATGTTAAACGTGAAACTAACTGACACTTCCAACAAACATCAGGTACTAAACACCATTTTGTTCCATTACTTGATAACTGGAAAAAATGGTATAAACCCATCGACACAATTGATTCTCAGATCTACTACACTCCCTACCCAAAAGTATTAGACCACCCTGTGAATTGCAGATCCGCAGTAATTATATGAGATTTGCGCAACTTAGAAAATATTTATTGAAATTTGATTATTGAAATGATCATCATCATCTCTTTTTTCCTCCTTTCCGCGCAA